CACTCAAATCACAAAATAATAATGTACAAGTTGTGACACAGGCATACCGATGGTGACTGAAAGGTGTAAACCACTGTTGGTACCAGATTGTTGACTCTAATATCAGGTGTATAAACAGCACATACAATGAATGGCACTGACAGTCCTGGGGCGGGCTCTGTAATATGATACATACCAGTTAGCAGGGACTCTGAGGTCTGAGATCTTTCTCAGGTCGTCCATACAGTCCAGCATAGGAAAGATCTGCTTGGCATGACGCATAAAGTACGGGTAGATGTCGTCTATATGACCTGGAGCACAACAGAAATTAGAGTTAATTCAACGTTTACTTTAATTAATATTATCTCTTGACAGAGCATCTTCTTAAGGGGGGTTAATGAAAACAGACCTGCTCCATAGCGAATGTCACTAAGGACGATGTGCAGATCGGCGGGAAGTACCGACATCTCCAGGACGTACTTCCTGAAGCTAATGAAGGCCTGGTGGAACAGACGAGCTGTATACACACACACACACACACACACACACAAAAGAGACACATGAGGCTCAACATATAAAGCTGGTTAGATAGTAAATGAGTTAGTTTCATTTTCAAGAAGCTTGCAGCCCATTTGCTTTACAATTGGCCCCACACACCAACACAAATGACAGAACGCTACCATGCAACATACTGGACTACAAGCAATTCAGGATCCGGTGCTCAAGGACAGTAGGAGCCGAACCCCCGGCCTGTAAATGAAGGACCTGCTCTACCTCCTGAGCCACAGTCATGGTTATCACTACATCTGATGACATCTATCTAGCATGTAAAGCATTAATTAAAAGGAAATTAGTGGCGAGTGCATAAAATATGGACAGATGAGGCGAATAAATAATATGTACAGGCATTGAAACGAGGTGTTTTTTTTGGAAACAATGTATTGACAACTGTGAAATGATGTAAACAAACTTCTCACCATCCAGGCCATTATCTGCTGCCAGCATCTGCATCTCTTTCCTCTTATAAAACCGGTTCATAAGTTTCAGCAGTTCATCTGAATCACAGACACAAAGAGCAGAGAGAGAGAGAGAGACATTAACATACAGACAGCAGGAGCATCAGTCAGCCATCCCCTCGTTGTCTTTACACTTGAGCTCACTTTTATCCAACGGCTGGGTCAGCTCTGCTCCCACATCCCCATCCACCGAGGAGTCAGCCTTCAGGGAGACGGGGACGAACAGAGAGGTGTCCGGGGGTTTTGGAGAAGAGCTGTTAGATGAAACTTTTCTGCTACAAACCACAGAACCAGCCTGGTGTTGTCTGTGTGACAAACTAGACCCAGAAGACGCCGGACAGACACCGGCGGTGATGCGGGCAGTCCGGGGGCTGATGTGGCGTTGGAGCCGGGGTAACAAATACAAACACCGGTTCACCGACATCGCTGCGAGTCGTTGTTTTTTTTTTTATATCCCGGCTGTGAGCTCCTTCTGTCGGCCACGTTCAGAACAAACTGTGCTACTGTCGCTCCATGTTGTCCATGTTGTTCGGCGGCTCTTAATGTGTGAATTATATATATATACACACACACAGCAACTTCAACAGAGGACGGTCAACACACTCGCTTTCCTGCTAACGCAACGTGGGGTAGGACCAGCCATTATTCAGCTGCCCACAGATGTGCCTGAGTTGACATTGAGCATAAACTGACCTGCATTCAAAGCCCTAATGATAGCTCCTCGTTTAAGTAAGATACAATCGTTCAGATAAATTAATATGACCGACAAATTATTTTTGTTTTTAACATTGTCACGCAAAAGGGGGGAAAATGTCAACAGGCACAATATTGGAGTCCTCTATGGTTGAATCCGCAGATCGTGTATGAAGTGTGATGATCTCCACGCCGTCAAAATAATGTCCCGCTTTCAGCGTCTGTCCGGACATCGCCTGCCTTCAATACCGACTAAAAACGATCTTTGAAGGACCCAGAGCAATGTGTTCACTTGTATTAACTCTTCAAAAAATACTTTCTAATTGTGGTTTCCAAATATTTACAGGATGGGCCCATTTGCGTTGGGCAAATTAGGTCAGTTAACAAAAAAATATCCACTATAATTCAAAACAAATGTTTAAGTTTGATTTGTTCGTTTGCTTTGTTCCACACAGCCTGAATTATAGACATACTGACATCTTAACCCCGCCCCCAACAGACATAGTTTGACAAGCCACCAATGTCAGTTAAATTAGTTAATTCATTTTATTAATTCAACTGTGCAGTTATATTTTTATTATAAGTTTCATCTTACATATACTTTGATGACTTTTTCCATACCAAATCTTTGGCTAGAGAGTTGGCAAGTGCATCCGGGCGACTGATTAAAAATCAAAGTGCTTTAGTAAATGCAGGCGAAGGAAGCAGTAGGAGAGGGTTTGGCCAAGATTATCAAAGCTGGAGTACTGTGTGCCACTGTTCCATCAACTGTTTAAACAAATGCCTAAATTATTTAGTCAAGCAATTAAAGTCTCTCTGAAACCTCTCAGAAACTTTCCACAGGTGGTCATCCTGAAGAAACTAAAGGCAGGACGAAGACAAACGTAAATGATGAGATGTATCTGTTAACTATTACATCTTCTGACTGCACGGTGTATAATCATCTTTTCAAGAAAGAGTGTTGTTCAAAAGATATTCAGTATAAATTTGCTTTATTCACGATTCATTTTAGCTATATATTTGGGTTTGGTGTATATACATATTATCATACACACACACACACACACATTGATGGCATGATTAGACATTGTGTAAAGATCAACATGCAGTAGATAAGACAGGGGCAGAGAGTTTTGGCATTTAAGTGTGTCTTCATTACCTTTGAAGGTATTTAAAGTACACCCAACAAACCCTACCTGTACTGTGTGCAGAGACAGAAAATATGTCTGACAGGCACAAAGAAAGAAGCCGTTACTTGCAAACAAATTACAATTCCCAAACAAAAGAAAGAGGTCAAAACTATTGTGAAGGAACAAATACATCTGGACTATACATGTGAATGTCCAGAATTTTATGAAATAAAACATGTAACAGCATGACTTGCATATGCAAGAGACATAAAGCAACAAAGTATTGTACTTAATAAGTCCAATTAGAACAAGTAGTGATATATAAATGACAGTGTCATTTCCATGACAGACACAGGAGATCTCTGAGGTGAAGTTGTCCTTGAATGATGTTTAGTTTCAGCTTCCATGGCCCCTTTTAAACAAAGTTAAGCATGGGAGGGGAAAGTGCAAAACTGGCCACAGATCAGAGCTTAAGGGCAAATTCAACCTACACACAAGGCCGATAACATCACCAAACTGTCTGTGCGTGTGTCTTTAAAGCGGGACCTAAACTGCCCGTCTGAGCATCACAGTGGAACATTGTTGGATTTTACAGTGTATTGATACTGCATCCCTTCCAGTGCTTACAATAGCAGACATGAGCCATTTAATAACATTAGTATTCTACTCATACCAAACCGACCAGCTCCAAAAAAAACGCAGCACCCTATGAAAGGAAAGTAAAACTGACAAGAACTGTGAAACTACAGTCTGCTGATCATTTCATTTTTTTCTCTATTGAATCATTTAACATGTAAACAGAAACTGCTAGTGTAGTGATTGACAGAACGTTCATTCTCAGGTATAAGTCGCCGGACAACTTCCTTAACTTTCAACCTTTTTTTTAAGCTTTGAATTTTAGAAATTGAAGAATTTCTTACATCAACTGAAGTCAGAGTCAGCAGACACCGACCCCGACGCAGGAATTTTAAAGGTTCAGTTCAACCAAATTACAAATAAATATATTTCCCATTTAGCCATACAGATTTATAGAGTCCAAGTTTGGAGAAATCTCTCTCTGGAATTTCGTCCTCCACTCCAATAAAGTGGAGGTGAACGGAAAACCATTTGTGGTGCTCAAAGCGCTGAAAATTAACTCTTCTCTTTGTAATTATGGTGAACCGACCATTAAATAACTTTGGAAGACAAACAACAAAAAGGTTTCTATTCTTAAAGATTAGTCATAAATAAATGGCACTTTAAAGATCAAACAAAATGTCTCGTGCCAGAGAAACATCTTGACTTTAGAAAAACACAAGAGGGAATCTTTAGATACATTTAGAGGCAATCCTGTAGTAACCCGACAAACCCCATCAGTGAAAACTGCATCAAATATTCATCTTAACAAGAGACTGAAATGTTGTATTGAGCTCGAGAATCTTTAACAAGCAGAGCATTTGAATGTATGATACTTTAAAAGCTGCAACCATGAGCCGATTAACTGATTTACCAATCGTTTAGAAGACTTAGTGGCAAATATTTATATGATCAATTCACTGTTTTCAGTCATTATTTTAAGGAACTCTATAATAGAATAAAAAATTAATTAACTGAGAATCTGCAGTTTAACCGACAATATAAATATTCATTAGTTAGTTAGTAATAAATGACACTGAAACGATTATATCCACCTTGAATCAAAAAACGTTCGTATGAAATGAGATGTGGACTGGAAACATGGAATATGTATCTGAGTGGAATATGTTTTCATTTTACAAAACATCCACATTAGAAGATAAAAAATAGAAAGCATTTATGTTAAGATGGACATTTGTTGCATTAAACTCTTAATGTCCTAATTAAACAGACATTTGCATGGAAAGGGCAGTCTGTGGACGACTGTTGCATCAGACGTGCTAGACGGATGAACGAGAGCATCACGATAGCTTAAACTCGGGTATTGTGAACAAACACACAGAGACCGTGTGTTGACTCAGAGCTTAGCCTCTCACGTCCTCCGTTCAGGCCGATCCCCGCGTCTTGAATATTTTCAAATCACTGGCTAGACTCTGGAGAGCGTCATTTTAAAAAGGGT